CGCACATCATTGAATGCATGCATTCATGACAGCTTTGAGACAAGTTACACAATCACTTTAATAAACACTCACATGTGTGATCACAAATGATTCGCACTAAGTTACAAAATTTGAAGAAGGATGGTCGACCAATTTTGGAGTACACCATGCATTAAAGCCATTGTTAGTGTGCTTTGTTCGTTAAGAGATCTTGTTGTAGATCAAGAACAATTGGATGTCACTGTTGAGAGTCTATCGAAGGAGTATGATTCGATAATCAATCTTGTGACTATCAAATTTGAATCTTATACTTTTGATGAACATGAAGTACTTTTGCTTAGTCAATAAGTGTAATTGGAAAGGTATCACAAGAACACGACTATTACAGTTGTTGTTCATCTTTCTCAATCTATATCAAAGAATGAATTTGAATATGATTTGAAACAACCTTATGTTAATGTTGCAATCAACTCGCAAATGTATTAAATAAATCCTAACTATCATCAAGGATGTTATGGAAGAGGAGATAATCGTGGTCGTGGACGTGATCGTGGTGGTCGAGATTTTGTTTAGTGTCAAGTTTGTAACAAGTTCGACCATACTACTTCCATATGTTATTACCACTTCAACCCTAACCATGCTCTCTACAACAATAGTTATAGCCAATGATACAATTCGGGCTACGCACCTAACTACTTCCAACAATTTGGAAACAATTATAATTCAAATCAACAAGGTGAAAATAATTTTGGTGCTAACAACAATGCTAAATTCATCATTTTCTCATTTACTCCAACAACTTTCATCCTTAATATCAACAATAATGGTTCTTTTATTTGGTATCTTGTCTTGAAAGTTACCCACCGCGTGACTCTTAAGCAACTTAACATTTAACAATTTGTTTCGTAAGAAAGTTTAGATCAATTACTTGTTGGAAAATGAATATCCCTTAATTTATATGAGAGATATATGACATAGATATGTAATTATTTTCTTAAATAAACATGACAAAATGATGATCATGAAACTGGCTAAGTTATCACTTAAATCTTTATATAATAAATTTACTCCTTTAACCTTTTCATACTACATGAATGGATTGCCATTTGTATTAGATTAGAGATATCAATATACATTCTTATTATGTTTAATAATTTAAAACTAATTATAATCAATATTAAAATAAAGGTGTTAATAAATCCTTCTTTTGTACATGTGATAATTTTCATTTCCCATATATTTTATGAACGAAAGTATGACTGTGGGCCATTTGCCTCCATCCAAAGCCAATATTATTAAAAATAAAAAATAAAACCCCTCCTAAGTCCTACCTTTTGTTTTAAAAAAATACTTTATACGAATCACTGTCTTGCGAGTTTTATTGACACTCACTTTTGGGCTACTAATCAAAGCACAAAATGGGTACACCAGTTGATATATTGATAAAGGCAAAGGAATAATTAAAATAAAAATGCGAGGTAGTTAGTGAGTCATAAATGACATGATTTGTCGGATTCATAATATATATACTCTCTAGCTTCCAATTCAAATCACATTGCATAGAATGTTGAAGCAGATACCAACTAGCCTTCTATTTTTCTTTATATTGCCCTGCCCGGTTACAAAGTTCAACCTTGTGTTATGTACTTTTCAGTTTTTTAAGTTTTGGTGAGTTTGCTTTTGAGACTATGTTTCAAAGTTCTTTGAAAATTTAGAGAGGTACTTACATGTTCACCAATAAAGCCTTTAATCAACAGAATTGAACTCACATCTTTTTTAATATATGAACTTGTTTCTTACTAATTGGACCAATTTTTGCTTAACATTTTTCACAATTTTTTGTTAATATTTTTCAGCTTTATAGTGTTTTTTCTTCTTCTTTTAAATAAGGTATCCTTTAGCTTTAAAGACTATTTTATTATCTTATTTTATTTATTAAATCAATGATCTAAATATTTACTTTACAATAAAAAACTAAAATGGTTATCCGTATGATATACGAGATATTTAGTTTAAAAATTAATTTATATATAATAATTGATAAATATAATTAAAAAATAATTATGTATTTATTAGTTTAATGTGTTTAAGTGTATTTTATATAGTTTTAAAATTTTGTTCTTTTGAATTTATAATAGAAAAAAAAATATTATAGGGTTTATAAATTAATGCATATAATAATGAGTTTATATATTTATTGAATTTATTATAATTAATTTATATAATGTTTGAAGTATTTATTGACTAATTTATCATATAATATTGTATTTATTAAAAATGAATTATTTATATCTATATTCTATTCTATATATTATTAAAGATAGAATAGTTTTTTTAAAAAAATTATCGCTCAAAATTACATAGCTCAAGTCATTTTTTTCTAACTTTTTTTAGCCTTTTAAAATTAAAACGTGTTATATTCATTGTAAAATAATTTTATCAACATTTAACAAATTCAAACATTTGTAAAAAAATGTTTGAACTTTAAATGGCTAATAAAATTTAGAAAAAAAAACAATTTGAACTATGTAGTTTTGAGTGAAATTTTTTTTAAAAGACTATTCTACATTTTTATTGGTCTATTAATAAGGAATATTTCCTATTGAATATTAGGACAATCTTTATTGAGGGTTTGATAGATACTAAATAGGTAAATATCCTCTTTTAATTTAAGTTTTCTTAAGATAATCTTTATTGAGGGTTTGATAGATACTAAATAGGTAAATATCCTCTTTTAATGTAAGTTTTCTGCATTTGTAAGAATAAGAATTCAAACTTTGACCATTTAATTAAGTGACGTGAATTCCTCGTTAATCATCACTCATGTCAATCCAAATTAGCAAACTATTTTACCATATATATATATATATATAAGTAAATAAATAAATCGATTCTAAATTTGATTTTACATGTACAATTATATTAAAATATTTTTAAAAAACATCATTTTTTAAATTTTCTATCAAAAAATAGTTGTATTTAATTGACATAATTCTATTTATTAAATATCAATAAATTTATTTCATAATTAATAAAAAAAATGTTTAAATTTTAAAAGGTTAAAAAATTTTAGGAAAAAAAGAATCCGAGTTATAGTTTTGAGCAAAGTTTTTTTTTTTATTTATAGAAAATTATTTTATCTTTAATAATATATAGATAGATATTTTCTTATGATATTATAAATTTTTATGAAAAAATTTAATTAGCATAATTTAATTTTTTAAATACTAATAAATTTTTTTATAATAAAAATGTTTGAATTTTAATAGGCTTAAATATTTTAGAAAAAATTAGATCCAAGTTATGTAGTTTTAATTTTTGAGCGAAAATATTTGTTAGAAGGCTATCTTTAATAATATATATAAACACACATACACAAATATATTATCTAATATGTATCACACCCTCTTATGCTCATTTATTTAATGATATATATTTTTTTATTAAACTGAAACTCAGCCTTTTCTTATGTTTAAATAATTAATTGATAATGGCTTGATATATAACAATACATACATTTATGTTGACATATATAATAAGCCAAACCTTGAGGAAAAAACAATAAATTTCGTAACAGTATAACTGGTTTTGTTCACACTATCCCTTGATATTTGTAACGGGCCAAACTTAAAAATAAATTGAATAGTGAATCTTAAATCATTCAGATTCACATTATTGATTTACGGTAGAGTTGTGATAATATACACAATCCTAAGTTCAAATCAATTATATTCGATGTAATTTTTATTGATATAAATAAGAAAATAAAAATGACAAATATGATATCATATAAAAGTTTATATAATTATTAAAATTAGTTCAATGGTTGAGTGAAGAGAAATTAAAATAGTTAAAAATATGAAGACTTAAATTTAATCTTCATTCAATCATTTTTTAATCTTTCCTATCAGTTATAGCTAAAAGTATTATTTTATTTTATGTGATAATCCAATTTTCTTTTATGAGTTATATTATAAGGTGCAACATGATTTTTTGTTTCGTGAGGCATTATGAGACTTACTCACAAAGCTTTTATCAGACCAAACTTGTATTTTAAGGGAAAATTATGACAACATAGCAATCATTGCAGTACATGATAGTGAACATATATCATAAATGCATCTAATATTTTAAATAATTAAGACCGCCAGTTCAAGTTTCACTTTTTTTATTTTTTATTTTTTAAAATCTAAAACAGGGTATCCAGATTTGTGAATACAAGTATATGTACTTGGAAATTAAAGGCTAATTCACGAATATATCCAAATCTTTTAAGGAATTGATTTTTTTTTTTTTAAAATAAGAGTTGACTTCTCTTAAAATATGTTTTATTATAATATAATAAACTCAACCATATGTAACTATTAGAAAAATGTATACGTAATTGTGTTAAATACGTATATTTATATGAGTTATTTTTTTAATAAATATTTTACAACTATATTTAAATACATATTTAACATAAGTACGTATATTTATTATGTAAAATATTGATTAGAAATTATAATTATGAAAAATAAATATTTATTATGTGTATTGCACATGTAAAAATACTAGTTTAATTTAAAAATAAATATTAAATATATGTGTATATATATATATATTACTTTTTTTCAAAGAAATAACAGGTTATATTTAAAAAAGATACTCTCTTAAATAATAATTCTTAAAAACACCTTTATTTAATATAACTATTCTCATGAGAATCATAAATTTTTTTTCCATGAATTTTTTTGTCAAAGCAGCTTATGACAAAACTTCATTCTATTTTCCACATAATTTTTCTTAACAAAATCATTTTCTCTTTTCTAAAAAGAAATTCCGCCATATCATGTTTCTGTTGTTAGTTTTTTTTTTTTGGAGTTTTTGGTCCAGTTTCATGTTTCTGTTTTAGAAACAAAAAAGACATAACCAATTGGGCCATGCCGAACCCTGCCTAATAAGTTGGGCTTTTAAAATTAAAGGCCCACAAAGCCACAATACCTTTCTTGTCAAACAAGACTTTCTAGTTTTAACTTAAATAGAGAAAAACCTCATAAAAATTAAAATACCAAACATTGTTAGGTTCTGAACTTCATTCTGAATTCTGCACTTTGATCGTCTTCAATTCCAGCACGGATGTCCCACCAAGGCGAATCATCGGACCCGTGAGTCAACTCTCTACACCTTTGTTGATTTCGTTTCAGGAATCGCAATTCCCTTTTTCCCCTCTGCTCAGTATAGTAAGAACTTATTGTACTGTGAAGTTTGTTTGATATTTGATATTTGATATTGGAGTTTTTGTTTGGAAGCGCAGGAAATCGGGGAAGAAGGACTTTTCGACCGCGATTCTGGAACGGAAAAAGTCACCGAACAGGCTTGTCGTTGACGAGGCCGTCAACGATGACAACTCCGTCGTCACCATGCACCCCCAAACCATGGAAAAGCTCCAGCTTTTCCGAGGGGACACTATCCTCATCAAGGTTACATTTTTAACCCTTTTCTCTTTCCCCCGTTACTTTTATCTTCCTGGGTTTTCACTCAATTTTCAATTAAATAAATAAGGATAAGTCTGCTCCTACATAAATTTTTTAATAACAAGAGAGGTACAGGAACATAAGAGAGGGAGAACTGCGTGATGAGTGATGAGATGAAGAGATATTGACAAAAGAAAAATGAATTATAGAAAGTGTTCTAGTAATTTGTTCCCGTGTTTTACTCAATAAATTGTTGGTTTGCTTAGGAGTGTTTAAGGTGCTGGGTAAGGAATGAATAAACTGAAGATTTTTATTGGAAATTATATTAAGCTACATTTAGTAACCCTAATTTTTATGTTTTTTTATTGTTAAAAAAATTAATTTGGATTCCTATCTAGCACAAACCTTTAGGGCACTCCATGACATTCTCTATGAATAAGTAGACATTCTCTTTCTCTATGAATAAGTACATACATAAACGGTGTTTGACTTACACGTGTATTTTTTTTTTTTTTGGGTAATTAAGAATGAAAAACTTTTGATTACTGAATTTGGATTGTTTGGTGTTGAGTTTGTTTGTTTGCATGGTGGTGTGTGATGTGTTATGCCCGTTATGAGCTGTGTGTGGCTGTGGCCACTTCTAAGTCATGTGTGGTTTGGTTTGTGTTGCAGGGAAAGAAACGGAGGGATACAATTTGTATAGCTCTTGCTGATGATAACTGTGAGGAGGCCAAGATCAGGATGAACAAAGTTGTGAGGTCAAATTTGAGGGTTCGGCTCGGAGATGTTGTGTCTGTGCACCAGTGCCCAGATGTCAAGTATGGGAAACGTGTGCACATTCTTCCCATTGATGATACCATTGAAGGTGTCACTGGCAATCTGTTTGATGCTTTCTTGAAACGTGAGTTTCTGCCTTGCATTTGTCTAAGCTAAATAGCTCTTAGTACAGCTTCAGTTATTTATTATGATGCTTCATTACTGAATTTTAACTCTTTTTTTTTTTTAATAATGTTTTTAGCTCATTTTTATTTGTTATTAATACTTTATTAATAATTTCGACATGTTTAACATCTGAGACTGTGTTGCCTCTCCCCATATTTTATGTTAAATTTCTTGATTAGCAAAACTTTAAATATCTGATGATGTGAAGATTTGGCCTTGCTACATGGATTAAGGCTAGATATACACAGTGTTGACTGGGATTTTTCCTTTTCAACAATTATAGTCAGTAACTTAAATTTAAATATCTCAGACCAACAAATTCTTAAATTTCCGGGATTTGATTCTATCACTTTTATAGTTGATTCAATTATGTCCTACTGACCCTTCGTGGCTTTACCTATCTGTAGAATCTTTAATCATTAGTTTCCTAAAGTCTTTATATTTCACATGATAGAGTATATAAACATTCATGTGTTTGCATACCGTTCTAACTTACTTTTTTTGTATGTTTAATATTTTGCAGCTTATTTTTTGGAGGCTTATCGTCCTGTCAGAAAAGGGGATCTATTTCTTGTCCGAGGAGGGATGAGAAGTGTAGAGTTCAAGGTCATTGAAACTGATCCTGGGGAGTATTGTGTTGTTGCTCCAGACACTGAAATTTTCTGTGAGGGGGAGCCTTTGAAAAGAGAGGATGAAGAAAGGCTGGATGAAGTTGGGTATGATGATGTGGGTGGTGTTAGGAAACAAATGGCTCAGATTCGTGAGTTGGTTGAGCTTCCATTAAGGCATCCACAGCTTTTCAAATCAATTGGTGTGAAACCTCCCAAAGGAATTTTACTTTATGGACCCCCAGGTTCTGGGAAGACATTAATAGCAAGAGCTGTAGCTAATGAAACTGGAGCTTTCTTCTTTTGTATTAATGGACCAGAGATTATGTCCAAACTTGCTGGAGAGAGTGAAAGCAATCTCAGGAAAGCATTTGAAGAAGCTGAAAAGAATGCACCATCTATTATCTTTATCGATGAAATTGATTCCATTGCACCCAAGAGGGAGAAGACACATGGTGAAGTTGAAAGGAGGATTGTTTCACAACTTTTGACTCTTATGGATGGGTTAAAATCTCGTGCTCATGTGATTGTTATTGGAGCTACTAATCGTCCAAATAGCATTGACCCAGCATTGAGGAGGTTTGGTAGATTTGATAGGGAAATTGATATTGGTGTTCCTGATGAAGTTGGGCGACTTGAAGTCCTACGCATACATACTAAAAACATGAAGCTATCTGATGATGTAAGTTAGCATAGCATTATGTAACATTCATATTTGTTGGTGGTTATTTTTTTTCTCTATCTTTTGTTTTTTTGCATGGTTAACATATTGTGCTTATGGTTCCATTCATGGATTAAAATCATCAGTACTGTACTATTTAACTATGATAATTCCAGTATGTGGTCTATTGTAATGTTTGTACACTCAATCAATTTCATAATCTATCTTTTTAATTTTGACCTTTAATACTTTGTTGCTCAATTGTTGTGGTTTTCCTCTGTAGGTTGATTTAGAGGGAATTGCAAAAGATACTCATGGTTATGTTGGTGCTGACCTTGCTGCCCTTTGCACTGAAGCTGCTTTGCAATGCATTAGGGAGAAGATGGATGTAATAGATTTGGAGGATGAGACTATTGATGCTGAAGTACTGAATTCCATGGCAGTTACTAATGAGCATTTCCAGACTGCCCTCGGAACAAGCAATCCGTCAGCTTTACGTGAAACTGTTAGTTATTTTGTTGCTATATTCAGAAATCATTAGTTAGTCAGGCTTTCCTTCTGTGTGGTCTATTTTCTTTTTCTTATCAAATGTCTCTGTTGACAGGTTGTTGAAGTGCCTAATGTCAGCTGGGAAGACATTGGAGGCCTTGAGAATGTCAAGCGTGAACTGCAAGAGGTCATAAATCTTTCCTTATATTCAATTACACCCTGTTTATTTTTATATTAATTTGATCTGTTGCTGATTTTTGTTTATGTGAACCCAGACTGTTCAATATCCAGTTGAGCACCCAGAAAAGTTTGAAAAGTTTGGTATGTCACCATCAAAAGGAGTCCTCTTCTATGGTCCTCCGGGATGTGGGAAAACTTTGTTAGCCAAAGCAATTGCTAATGAATGTCAAGCTAACTTCATTAGTGTGAAAGGTCCAGAATTGCTTACAATGTGGTTTGGTGAGAGTGAAGCTAATGTTAGAGAAATTTTTGACAAGGCTAGACAATCGGCTCCATGTGTCCTCTTCTTTGATGAGCTTGACTCCATTGCCACTCAGGTTATTCACTTTACACTCAAAGTCTGCCATGTTACCATGCTTAGGCCATGAGCGATATTAAACTGAATTATATTTGAATCTTGTCTTGTTGCTTGTACTTGTTTGGTAATAGTTATGAGGATCTCAAGCCACCTGTATTTTTTCTTTCAATATTGTCACAAAAGTTTACGTGTATGTAATTTGTTATTTTCAGTGTATTCTTATGCACATTACTTTGTAATTCTTGCAGAGAGGAAGCAGTGTTGGGGATGCTGGTGGTGCTGCGGATAGAGTTCTAAACCAACTTTTGACTGAAATGGATGGCATGTCTGCCAAAAAGACTGTGTTCATAATTGGGGCAACTAACAGACCTGACATCATTGACCCAGCACTTCTTCGGCCTGGCCGTCTGGATCAGTTGATCTATATTCCTCTTCCTGATGAGGATTCCCGTCATCAAATCTTCAAGGCCTGCTTGAGGAAGTCACCTGTCTCTAAAGATGTTGATCTGAGAGCTTTGGCTAGGTATACTCAAGGGTTCAGTGGTGCTGATATTACAGAAATATGTCAGCGAGCATGCAAATACGCCATAAGAGAAAACATAGAAAAGGTATGCGTTTGGGTAGTGTGTGTGTGTATATATATATATATATATATATATATATATATATAGGTCTTTTCTTCTGACATGATTTGACCTGATGCATTTTCACGGTTTATTTCAGGACATAGAGCAAGAGAGGAAGAGGAGGGAAAACCCTGAGGCCATGGATGAAGACACTGTTGAGGAGGAAGTTGCGGAGATCAAGGCTGCTCATTTTGAGGAGTCAATGAAGTATGCACGCAGGAGTGTTAGTGATGCTGATATACGCAAATATCAGGCATTTGCTCAGACCTTGCAGCAATCCAGGGGGTTTGGAAGTGAATTTAGGTTTTCAGAGACTGAAAATAGGACTACTGGATCTGACCCCTTTGCTCCTACTGCTGCTGGGGCTGAAGAAGATGATCTGTATAGTTAGTACTAATCATGTATTAAGTCACATGTCTACTTCCAAGGATGTGTCCCTAGATTTTCCCTCAAAAGGGGTAACTTTTAAGCCTGTCGTATATTTTGCTTTTCATGTATTCAAATTACCCTGAATTGTTACTGGGTTAACATAAAATATGGTATGTTCATTTTATGGATGATATTCTCGTTATTATATCGTAGAAAGTAGTTGAACAAGTGCATTCTTGGAAGTTCTCATAGTGCAATGATACTTCTTTTAGGTTTATGTATCATTCTAAAACTTGAGCAAAATTCTATTTGCATTCTTAGTTTTGTGGATGATTTTCATCAGGGAACTAGTTGGTCGGATTATCTTTAGTGATTTTTTCTTCTTAATTACGTCATTTTAATTTACAAGATTCAAATTTAGGGTTTTATTTGAAGTGACCGAGTTTGGTACTGTTTAGTTTAACGACTCATTGTGTGTGTGTGTGTGTTTTTTTTTTAATTTCTTAATATACTTTTCTTATTTTATTTTATTTTTATATATTCAAAATATCATCATTTTATTTTGAAACATAAATCCTTCCCCTTCCTTCAAGCGCACTCTTTGGCTCTCCTTCTCACCCCTTGCATAACTCCATGTCTTCGCTTTGCACTGGCTTCAACACATTCCCTCTTCTTTGCTGGTAGCAATGCATCCATTTTACCATCTTTACCAGTTAGGTCTTGAAATGTTTTTAATTTTATAAAATTTTGGAATTTATGTTCCGAACTATTATAAAACTAATTTCTAGGTTGTTTACATATCTTCTAAATATCTATTTTGAAATTAATCTCCAAAAACAAATAATTTAAAAACAGTATATAATGACTCAGACCAAATGGAGTGGAAAGAGAAAAAAAGATAGAATTGCCCAAAACTTAACACAGGTTTGGGTTGAAAACTTTAAGCTGCTTTGGTTTTGGAAAATATTGCATATATATATATATATATATATATATAATATTTACAACATAAATTTTTTAATCATAAAATTTTCAAAAGAGTAAAATCAAATAATGATTGCAGTTTTCTAACTTTCTTGTAATTTATGGAACAAAATAATGTCATTCTATTGTTATTTTTAGTTAAAATAAAAAATATATAAATAAATAATAAATAGTTAAATTGAATAGTTCTACACCTTTTCATAATAATTTTCAATTTCTTATAGAATATATCGTCCATAATTTCTTTAACTTAAAAAAATTATAAAATAAGTCATATAATTAACGTATAAATAAGAGATATTTAATATTTCATGTGATTTATTGTAGTTTATGTGATTTATGAAATAAGTAATTACAACCTCAATAATTGAGATATTTTGTTTTGTATAGAAGTTGTTA